AGATCCCGAGTTCATAATCATTTGCCTTCAAAGAAACGCACCAAAATGATTTGTAAGATGTGTCTATTAGGGAGAGGTTTCCACACCCTTATAAAGAATGTTTTGTTCCCCTCTTCAACCGATGTGAGATCTCACAATCCATCCCCATTCGGGGCCTAGCATTCTCGCTGACACTTGTTCCCCTCTCCAATTAATGTGGGGTCTCACAATCTACCCTCCTTCAGGTCCTAGTGTTCTCGCTGGCATTCGTTCCCCTCTCCAATTAATGTGGGGTCTCACAATCTACCCTCTTTCAGGTCCTAGTGTTCTCGCTGGCACTCGTTCCCCTCTCCAATTAATGTGGGGCCTCACAATCCACCCTCTTTCAGGTCCTAACGTTCTCGCTGGCACTCGTTCCCCTCTCCAATTAATGTGGGGCCTCACAATCCACCCTCTTTCAGGTCCCTAACGTTCTCGCTGGCACTCGTTCCCCTCTCCAATCAATGTGGGGTCTCACAATCCACCCCCTTCAGGGCTCAACACACCGCTCGATGCCTACCCCCTTCGGAGCTCAACATCCTCGTTGGCACCATTTGTAACAACCCAAGCCCACCACTAGTAGATCCATCATAGTTCAAACACTCGAACCTCATAACGAGAGTACAACATCAGCAATACAACCAGTGAACTCAGAAAATGGAAATTCAATCGAAAGAGGAACCATAGAGAACATGTGACAATGAACTCCAAAGCAGGCCAATCTACTCAAGCTTTTGCCTCAAAGAAATCACAGATAAAATGGAAGGTCTCCAGAGATACCCACAAAGTCCACAAGGAAAATTCAGTGTTTAAGAAGTCTCCTCTCAGTAAAGACAAAGCAACAAGTCTACAAAAGTCAATACAACAAAGCAACCCAGATATTGGCGCAAACCACCAATCAAAATCATAAGAATCCTAAAATTCAGTGCAAAAGCAAATGCATGATGAACCCAAAAGGGTAATCATAGAAACCACAAACATCCAACAATTCCCCAAAAAACAGCACAGAACCAACCAAAAAGTGGGAAAAACACAATCAAAGTGCTAAACCAAGCAATCAAACAATCAAACCAAAAGAACCCATCAATCAAATAATCAAAAAAACGAAGAACAGAACAAAAGTACCTCAATCGAACACCGCACAATCAAAAATCGCTCTCGGAGTCAACAAATAACGAGAATCCCCATTCAGAATCTCATCGAACTCCCACCATCAAAGACAATAACAAACCAGTAGATATAAAAAATGATTAAGAACAAGAATATCGGAAAGCCATGAAAAAAGGGGTTTAGATCGTCATGGGGTTGAAGAAAAGAAGCAGAGATTTCAAAGTTTTTGAGATGAAAAGATAGAGAAGAGGTCTTTTAGAGAGAGATCCTAGAAGGGAAATCTGCAATACCCACAACAAACAAGCGAACAAACTCCCAATGAAGTGACCCGAAATTTGTCAACATCCGCTTCCACTTTATTCTCTCCTCTTCCTTCTTTTAACTATTTCCTTAATTTTTTTCTCCAAAATCAAAGAAATCAAAGAAATGGGGTGCTTCGATTTCTTCAAGATTCGCGCTCCCTTTATGAACAGATAATGAAGGACAAATATCTCAAAATCCCGCCTCCTAAATCACAGTTGTGGAAGAATATAATACAATCGCTCCAAACCCATTAGCTGTTTTAATTAATAGATTAACGAAGGAATTAAAAGGAACCAGAATTTTGGAAAAAGATTTTATTTTTGTTTTCATTTTCAAGTTATTAATTCCGAAATTTGGTGTGGGTCCCATGGTTGTGTACTACGGAAAGAATGAGGATTTGGATGAAGAAGGAAAATGCCCTCGTGGTAACTCAAAATTACAGAAATGGGATTTGTTTTTTATTTTTTATTTTTTATTTTCTAATTTTTTGATTGGCGGATTGGTTGATCTTGTGTCAGCTATAGCAGTGAAACTCCATTGGTGCCTCTCTTTTCATGCTGTCCAATCTTATTTTCTACGAATATTATTATTATTATTATTATTAATTTTAAATAAATTATATTATAAAATTTTAAACTTTAATTCTCTAATATTTTAATTTAATAAATTGTGTTAAAAATAAAATGATTAAATTAAAAAGAGAGATTTCCAACTTTAAATGGAAAAAGGGGTTTTTTCTTTTTCTTTTTTTTTTTTTTAAAGGAAAAGTTAGGAACAGAATATTAATCAATAAATAATTAATAATATTGAAAAGTGTTGCTATTTTTTTTAATTTAAAATTTAAAAAATACTTCGAAAATCTATTGGGTTATGCTCAAATTAATAAGGTCGTTGAATAATTTAAATAATTAATTTTAATTTAGAAGAAAATTAAATAAAATTAAAAATTGAAAATTGTAATTAAAAAAGAAAAAAAAAAGGAAGGGGGCTATTAGGGGAAGTACAAAGCGTCGGGGAATCATAATAATTAAAGCAGATTTAATTTTAGCTTTTAAATTTCTTGTTATGGACGTTAGCGTTGTTAACAGACCCCCGAGTGGGGCCCACCTTCCTTTGCATTAGTCACTCTCATCGAAAATAAGTGACGATTTCCAATGTCCAAGATTTTCTTAAACTACTTGCTTAGTGGGGCCCACCTTCTGCTGGAGGCTATATATGTCATTTACTATTTTTTTATTTTATTTTTCTTCAAAAAATTAAAACCGACGAATAAATAATAAGAAGTAGATTAAAAAGTCTTTATACAATTTAATTTTAATAAATGCAAAGAACCAATAAATAAAACCACCAAATAATTTAATAATTAATTTCAAAGTATTAGAATTGAATTGATGAGCCAAAATTAGGGTTCCTTCCTTCAAATTCTTATGGTCAAATTGGGCCCACATATTCCATTCAATAACACCTTTTAATCACCTTTATGATTCATTTCTCTTCTTCTTCACACTTTCTTAAAGTTCTTAACATAATTATTATTGACCATCATTTTATATAATATTTTATACTATTCAAATTCCGAGCTTGTCACAATATTTGGTCAACAATATTTGAGACATCTAGACGTTTTCATATTCTCGAGCTATTTTTATAATATAGTCTTTGCATACCTACCATTATATATTTTTAAACTGATGTAACTATACAGACAATTTATGTATTTTTTACATTGAATTACACATTTATTTGTAAATACAATGCATAACGATATAAATAAATTACAAGTTAATTGCTAACTTGAACATAAGTCAACTAGTTAATGTGTTATAATCTCGATCGAAAAGGTCAAATGTTCACATTTTCACCCCTCATATTATTAAACGCTTTTGGAGAATCTCTTACTTATAGATTATATACGTTGTATTAGTTACATTCATCGAGTATTCAATACAAACTCCACATAGTAATTAGCTAAACCCCATAAAAATCATTACAGAAACTCATTTGGATGTTTGAAATTAGTCTTAAAACATCCTTACAGAAAGGGGGAAAAGGGAAGTGAAAGCAAACAGTATTTTAACTCAGAAATGAACATTAAAGCTACTAAACTTCATCAATTGAATCGATGATAATAGACAAAGATCATATTCATGAGATTGCACATCAATAGTTGGAGAGGACGAAACATTCTTTATAAGGGTGTGAAAACCTCTCCCTTGCAGACATGTTTTAAACTGACAGCGATATGTAACAGGCCAAAGTAGACAATATATTACAGAAAGGGGGAAAAGGGAAGTGAAGGCAAACAGTATTTTAACTCAGAAATGAACATTAAAGCTACTAAACTTCATCAATTGAATCGATGATAATAGACAAAGATCATATTCATGAGATCACACATCAATAGTTGGAAAGGATGAAACATTCTTTATAAGAGTGTGAAAACCTCTCTCTAGCAGACATGTTTTAAAACTGACAGCAATATGTAACAGGCTAAAGTAGATAATATATTACTAGGCTAAAGTAGATAATATATTACTAGCAGTGGAGCTTAGGCTCTTACATCATAATATTTAACATTTAGCAGCTAATCCATAGAGAATATATGTCATTCAATATTTAGCATAAAATTGAGTTAAAGATGCAAGTTGTTTGAGTAAATACTCGAGATGATGAGAAAGTTTCAGTTCCATTGGGCTATACCTGTGAATTCCACTGCTTCTTTTTCGACAACTTTTTTTCTTCCCTCTACTTATGGTGCAACTTTGGCTGCCGATGTAAACTAAGTTGAAGCAAGAGTAACTGTGAACAAAAGTGATGTAGCCAAATTAGAACTGCAACATATATCATTATCAAGGCAGTTGATTAATTCTTATTGATACTCACTCAACTGTTGTGAGATCCCACATCGGTTGGAAAGGGGAACGGGACATTTCTTATAAGAGTGTGGAAACCTCTCCCTAGCGAACACGTTTTATAACTTTGAGAGAAAACCTGAAAGGGAAAGCCCAAAAAGGACGATATTTGTTAGTGGTGGGCTTATACTGTTACAAATGGTATCAGAGCCAGACATCGAGCGGTGTGCCAGCGAGGACGCTGGATCTCCAAGGGGATAGATTAGAGATCCCACATAGGTTGGAGAGGGGAACGAGACATTACTTATAAGGGTGTGAAAACTTCTCCCTAGTTGGATGCATTCTAAAACTTTGAGGAAAAACTCAAAAGAGAAAGCCCAAAGAAGACAATATCTGCTAGAGGTAGGCTTGGGCTGTTACAAATAGTATCCGTGCCAACAAGGACGTTGGATCCCCAAGGGAGGTGGATTGTGAAATCTCACATCGGTTGGAGAGGAAAACGGAGCATTCCTTAAAAAGGTGTGAAAACCTCTGACTAGTAGTCATGTTTTAAAATCTTGAATGGAAACTCGAAAGGGAATGTCCAGAAATGACAATATCTGCTAACAGTGGGCTTGGGTTGTTCCAGCTGTTCACGTATAACACTCCTGAAACTTGATATCAACACAACGAGAAGAAAACAACAAGATGCTACGTCGATAACATGTACGATACTGATTTGGAATTTCAACAATCAAGTTTCATTGAATCACCTGAAAATCAATGAATATGGAAACCCTTCCCAGACACGGGGAGAGTTGACGGAGCAGTGCAAGAAACGAGATGAACAAACCACTTTGGAAGAAATTGAACGATGGATTTCTAGAGATGTGTGTCGATCAATCATTGCCCCATTGATCATCATCTTAATATGGGTTGGGAATAATATAAGGGAAACTTTACCGTCGACCAATGATATTTAAACCTTTGTCTTCAACTTCTCTCTTTGAAGTTACCCTTTTTGATTCTTGCTATGATATCTGCTTCAACCTTTGCCAAGTAAAACAGAGAATACACAATGTATGCCCTTATGAGTTATGAATGTCATTTTATTTCAAATAAAGCAAACGACAAACCTGAACTCAGTTAGCTTCGTTCTCAATTCTTGGCCAATTTCATACTGTTCAATGTTCAATGCTTACTGCACAATAATAATCCATACCAGGAAAATCTTGTTTAGCTAAAAATGAGAGCGCTAGCAAATCAATAACAAAACAACAGCCTGCTATACCTGTACTCGTGTTGCCACGTCCAGCTAGAAAAGGAAATATAACAGCCCAAGCCCAAGCCCAAGCCCACCGCTAGCATATATCGTCCTCTTTGGCCTTTCTTTCTCGGGATTCCTCTCAAAGTTTTTAAAACATGTCTGCTAAGTAGAGGTTTCCACATCTTTATAAAAAATGTTTCATTCTCTTCTCAACTGAAGTGGGATCTCACAATCCATCCCCTTTGAGGCCAAGCATCCTCACTAGCACTCCTTCCCTTCTCCGATCAATGTGAGACCTTCCTAATCTACTCCCTTCGGAGCCCGACGTCCTTGCTGATACCCCGTCTATGTCCACCACCCTTCGAGGCTCAGCTTCCTCACTGGCATATCACCCGGTGTCTGGCTCTGATACCATTCAGAACAACCCAAGTCCACAGCTAGCAAATATTGTCCTATTTCAGCTTCCCCCTCAAAATTTAAAAATGCATCTACTAGGAAGAAGTTTCTACACCCTTACCCCAACCGATGTGGGATCTCACAGGAAAAACTAAAATATCATTGTTAGCGTTCTCACTGCGTTCTATACGAGCACCCAATCCTTGTCCACCCCCTTTAAACAACCATCCAGCTTTAACCTTAAAATTTTCTCGTTTCAATCTACAGCATTGGCTAGTTAAAGGAAAATCTTGTCTGCTTGAAATTCATTCTCAGTGAAAGTGCCAATCCATAAACCTTAGGATCTCCCAAGGCTGTCACAGCGTTTATTGACAAATCCTTCACCATTTCTACTTAACAGGTAAACACTGTTTCTTGATTAATGAAGAAAATTGTACTATAGTGATTACATGCCCTCAGTCTCATGATTTTCGAAGCAACACAGATCTACTCAATTCACCACAACTCACTCTTTTATGTGTGTGAGAAAGAAGCAGAGAGAAAAAATCACAAAAAATTAGAATACGGATTTCCATTCATACTGTTCCTCAAGGATTGATAAGAATCACATCAGCATCAAACAGTAACGACAGAGAGAAGATAACAGAAACAAAGTTTATGTACGGTTTAATCCGATGAGACGCTAGCGGATCTCAGCTAAACAACGACTAACGATTTAATAAACGCCTAAAATAATGAAAATCAAAGCTCAAATGTTGAACAATTTCTTGAATCTCCACACTACACGTTACAATTTCTCGGCAACTAAGCAGATAAATCGGTAAACACCGCAGATTAATTCCACAGAATGTGTTTTCTACGAAGACGGAGAAAGATAAAATGCAGCCGAAGCTAAAATTAATAACAAGGCCGGAGAACGCACCTGACCGCCGCCGGAGAAGCGATGAGAAGCACTTTTTTGCAAGCAGAAGAGGTGAAAAGTGAGTTCCAAGCGGCGGGAAGGGCCTCATCTAACGACGTCGTATTCACGTCCTCCGCTTATTAGAAATTATATATCAAATGTGTTGTTCCAATTTTATGTAATTTTTTTAATACAACAAATTATCGGTTCCATTTACAATTTACTTCATAAATTTTTTATTTTATAGTTCAATTTTTGCTAAAATTACCTAATAATTTAAAATTTTAAAAATAAATAATCACCCATAAAAATTCATAAAATATTATAAAAAATGATTTAAATTATCTATATTAGTTCTCGAAAAAACGTAAAAAAGATCGGTCAATTAGGACAACGACATACGAGATTGGTTGACGGATCCTAAGCACGAATAGTCGAACCCTAACCCTTATCCCAATTTAGGAGTGACCAACATCTAGGCATAGGTACAAGTAGGTCTAAGACCACTAGGACAATGATTGACTAATACCCATCACGTGTTTGTGAAAAATCTTAATGTAGCATTGGGTCATTAAAAGCGTCACACTGTCCGTTCTTATGTGTAGTCACAACTCTTGTACTATTCATTAAAAAATAGCATCAGACACGTTTCTCGACCTGACTCGTCGTAATCAAACTCGTTAACATTAATTATTACAAATTATACTTCCAAACTTACCGAAAATAGTAAATGATTTTTTTAAAAAATCAAGCTAAATATGTGATTAAGACTATATTATTTTAAACAAAAATTAGATGTAAGCTCAAAATATATTTTTATTAATTAAAATATAAAATACCCGTAGTTTTAAATATGATAATAAAATTAAAATATATTAATTTTACCCTATTTAATAATTTAAACTACCATAGTTTTGTCGTAGGACATGGACTATAACGGCCAAGATCCACCGCTCGGCTTTTCCTTTCAGCTTCCACACCCTTATAAATGTTGGTTTGTTCTCCTCCCCAACCATTGCAGGACATCACAATCCACCCCCTTCTTTCAGGTTTGTTCTCCTCCCTAACCAATGCGGGACATCATAATCCACCCCCTTCGGGACCTAGCGTCCTTGCTGGCACTCTTTCCTTTCTTCCGATCGATGTGGAACCGCCCCCAAATTCCACTCCCCTTTAGGGCCCAACGTTCTTACTAAGACACCGCCTCGTGTCTACCCCCTTCGGGGAAGAGTGAGAAGGTTGGTACATCGTCCGGTGTCTGGCTCTAATACCATTTGTAACCCCCTTCGGGGAAGGGCGAGAAGGTTGGCACATTGTGCGGTGTCTGGCTCTGATACTATTTGTAACGCTCCAGATCCACCGCTAGCAGATATTGTCCTCTTTGGGCTTTCCCTTTCGGGCTTCCTCTTAAGGCTTTAAAACGCGTCTGCTACAAGAAAGGTTTCCGCTCTTTAAATGTTGGTTTGTTCTCCTCCCCAACCAACGTGGGACATGGGAGGCACTATATGCAATTATATTAAATTAACATAAAAAAAAAGAAACTATTTTACAATTAAAACATCAAAATAAAACCATTTTTTATTATTATAAAAAACAGAAATTAAAATGAAAAAAATTGGATTTTTGCTTTTATTTCCCGAAAAATAAAAATACAAGGTGTCAAAAGAAATAGAAAAAAAAAAACAAAAATAAAGTGGTAAAGTGGGGACCACCCCAGGACTCTGCCCATTATGAGTGGGACCCACATGATTAGCAAACAAAGTGGGACCCACCGATGAATAATTGCCCCTCTCTCTGTATGGTATAAAGATAGTGTGACTGTGACTCTCCAAATCACTCGCCTATTAGGCTTAATTTATGTATCAAACTTTTAAAATTAATATTTAATAAGTTGTAAAATTTTTAATTTGGTATGTAATTAATAATTATTTTATCTATTCGATTAAATATTTTTGTTTCTTAAATTCACAATTTTATATTTTATAAAATTCTTAATGATTAAATTTATATTTTTGAACTAAAAATTTAGAAATTAAGCAATATCTTTTGTTTAATTTTTTTTAAAAAATATTAATAGAAAGTGTAAAAAAAAAAAAAAAACGAAAAAAAGACCAAACAAAGAGCGATTTCATGTTCCAGAAATTTACACGGAGAGAAGATCAGGGTTTCTCCATCCTCCTCTCTCCGCCTTTAATCTCAGGTTTGCCTTCGATTCATTCTTCATGATCTGTTCTTGTTCTTGTTCTCGTTCTTCTTCAAATCGAATCGGTTTTCTCGTTGTGATTGCTTTTTGTTTATTGTTTCCTACTTCACTCTATTTTAAGGTATTTCTTTGATCGTTTCTCCCATTCTTCTCACTTTTCATCTGTATGTTATTGTTCCTGATTTCTTTTGTTTGTTTTTTGTTTTGTGGATTAAGCTCGTTTAGTGCGGAAGAGATTGTAGATATTGTTGAGCTGTTCATGAGGGGAAAGGAGCGTGTTGTAGTTGATTTTGATTGATTCGGTTGCTTGTGTGCTCTTCGGAAGAAGGGGAACGGAGCAAATTGAATCAAGGAGGCGGATGGAGATAGAAGTTTTGGTTCCGATTAGGGATAATGTGGAGGATGAAGCTTTAATGTTCGACCACATAAATATGGAAATCAAAACTGGGGAGAATGGAGTTGGTGTTCAGAAGGGTGGTGTTTATGCTCCTGCATCAGAGAATGGTGAGGGAAGTAGCGTTGTATTCTCTAGAGAAGGACATCTTGTGAAGAAAGAATCCGTTCTAGCTCATGTTGCCCATGATTGTAATTCTAGTGAACAGAATCCCAAGTCCATGCTTGTGGTGACAGATTTTAAGCAGGGGAAGAAAGGGAAATCCAGTCATGAAAAGAAACTTAGCAGACAAGACAGATTTGAGTTAGGTCGATTGTTTCAGGGCGCTGTAAGCTCACATGATTGGGGGCTTGCAGAGAGTTTGATTGCGTTGGCAGATCCTCAGACTCTTAATGATGCTTTGTGTATCACCTTGGATTCAATCTGGTTTTTGAGCACACAGCAAGAACTTCACGGAATAACTGGATTAATTAAGAACATCATTGTGAGTGGAGCTTATGACTTTACAAGAGCAGCTCTTAGGACCTCGTTTCTGGCTTCGTGTGTCTCTGCCTGCCAGAGTCGAACAATGAGTCTTGCTGATACTGTAACCGTCATGGCACAGAGGTGAAGCATAATGACATGTTTATTTTTGGATAAGAAACTGAACTTTCATTGAGAATTATGAAAGAATAAGTTAGTTCTTTTTGTTACTGCATGAATTTGTTTTCATGACAATAGAAAGGAACTGCTTACATCTGTTAGAAATATTATCCCTTAATAGAAAATGTAGTACAAAGAAAGACCTTTCCAAATAATTAGCCATTTGACTAACAACACTTTTAGCTATATCATATAGAACCCTTAAGGTCTCTTAGTGAATTGGTGACTTTATTTAATTCCATAGTTCGGCTCGAATAACTTTTATATGCCTACTTGAAGGGGGGATCCCCTAGGTGGAAACCGGTAATCGATTGTGTTACTATCTCTCATATGCAAATGGCCCCGTAATATTGTTCACTCGTAATCACTACTGTTTAAGTTCAAATTGTTCTCTTCTCCCAACTAGTTATGAGAAGTTGCAAAGTATTGATATCTTTCATTTGGTTTCCTTGAATATGTTATGAGAAGTCTTGGTTCTGTTACATATGTGGTGCTCTTAAGGTTTTTGGCAATAGCGAGATACATTTTTCTTCCATGTAGCCTAGTTTAATTTCCATCATTCTCATCTTCCAAAATTCCATGTTTTCATTTCCTTTTCTTAGCTTAGATCTGTCTTTATTCCTCTTATTGCTTAATGGAATCTAATATTTTGCGATATTTTCCTTGTAATCAAAATGTCTATAATATTGTAACAAGCCATTATACTTCCTACATTTGACATTTCAATCCTTGCAGGTTGCGTGAGCGTCTCCAAGAGTGCAATGGAGATGAGATCTTAAAAGCAGAGGCTGGCAGTAAGGTTCAAAAGTTTACCGAATGGGCTCTGAAATGCATTGGATTTCATTCTGGGTGCCATAGGAACCAGGACCGAGTGATTCAAAGCTCGGCTGCTGAGATCCAGCTTCAGTTATCCGCTTTCAAATTTTTCCTAGATTTTGCTGGCAATCAACTTACTGGAAAAGATTTCACAGAGGCCTTTGATGCTGCTTGTTTCCCACTCACTCTCTTTTCTAGTTCTTTTGATCCCGGATGGGCAGCCGGAATATCAGCGACAGCAATCCAAGGTTTATTATGTTTGCTGGTGGAGGGTGGTGCTGACAATGTTAACCAGTGCTTCCTTGAAGCTTCTCGCTTCGGAAGCACAGAACTCGTGCGCATTTTATTACAGGTACAATAAATTTATTGTTCATATTATCTACTTATTGTCCACATTATCACTTTTAAGATTTTCTGGATTAAATTAATTAAATTAGATCCGAGATCAAACCCAAACCAAAATCCAGAAAAATAAATTCTTCAGTACTCTTGAAACCCGAAGACAAGAATTGCTAAGAAACCGATCAAGATCTTGGACTTCTAGCTTACCATACCATTTGAAGGTTTGAAGATTTGAAGCTGACTCTAGAAGTATATAGAAATTTTAAATTGATTATGTCAACCCCAAGTCACATCTAATATATGACTCATACGTTATGACATTTTGCCCCATATTGAATGTTGCATTTCGCTCAAGCATATGCATAACGTTCCATACCTTCATCTCTTAGTTTACTTATGTAAATACATTTGTTTCACTCGATTGATATTTTTCGTGCATTTGTTAGTTGATATTCTACTGAATATTTGATGATTACACAGAGCCACTTTCTGATATATATACTATAGCCTGTAAAATGAATTATATATGCAAAAATAAAGTAAAAGACTGAAGTATAGATTTTGTTATTGAACATCTATAAGAATGATGCAGCTCTCAGACAAAGTGAGAAATTAATCGTGCAGTGCTGCAAGTTGACAAAGAAAATATGTTGTTATTCATCCGTTTGGTCTGATACAAAAATTTATTTTTACCTTTTCATCCATTGAAGAATCTTTAGAACTTATCTCATTAGCCTGACCCTCATGTTTCTTCTTTTCTGATTTGTAGATTGCCCAAAGGAACAGCTTGGACGTCGATGTCGACCTGGCATTGGGTTTTGCTTCTCACTATTGTAAGATTGGCACAATGGAGTGTTTGGTGGAAGAGGGTAACGCCATAGCATTTTTGGGTCCTCTGATGAGAGCAGCTGAAAGGGGCTGTTTGCCTGTTGTTGAATGGTTTGTGAGAAGAGGTTGTCAGGACATGGAACTCTGTCTTGCCCTCACAGCGGCCACGTCTAGCAGTCAAATTAATGTCGCCGATTATCTTCTTCCCCGTGTTCCTCAACACGTACTTGCTGCCCTTAGCATTGAAATTCTTAAGGCTGCTGGGGAACGGAGTAGTGGTTCTCTTGATGGTGTTGAGTTTCTCCTTCATTCGAACTTTCTCGGCGATCCTTCTGCAACGTATGCTGTAGCAGACAGTATCTCCAAGTCGAGCGACGAGTCTGTTGCTCCCGAGCTCAGATTTTTTCTTTGGGGGCACTGGTCGGAGGCAGCTTACTTGGATGGGTTGAGACAAGGTCAAGAAAATTACTTAAATTTTGTACGGATTTTGAGGTGGGGTGGATCCCCAATTTCTTTGAGAGATATTCCACCACCCCTCAGGGTTGCAATAGCTTATCTACCGCTGTACAGGGAATGTATAAAAGTGAATGGATGCTTGTTTTCACAAAAGCTAAGGGGGCAGCTGGTTGAAGCCGCTAGAAGGCTCGGAGGGGGCGGGGCGTTAGAAGAGGCGAGCCAAGGCAGGGAGCTATTGGCTGTTTTGGAGCACCATCTTCCTCCATTTTTGATTCACAAGTTCTAGGTTACTTAGCAATGCTTCTCGTATTGCATAGGAAAGAATCGAAGAACGAAAAAGAGAATGCAAAAAGGAGCTTTGCGAGATGTGATCGAAATTCAATTCAACGGGATGGCACGGAGCATTTGCAGCTTGCCTATTTTTCTTTCGAGCCTATGCAGTCAGTCTCTGCCTGGTTATTTTTGAGATAGGTACACTGTTTTGAATGGATGATTCATCATATCTATATGTAAACGCACACGATGCTATGTAATCTAGGACGTGAACCAATCACGGGTTCTGAACGATGTGTACATTATTGGTATATAACCATCTTCTATTCTCTTCTCTCGTGGATTAATGATAATGAGGAAACTTAGACCGCGTCGTCTGAGTAGTGGCAATTACAACCATCTCATGCTGTATGTAATGTGTTCTAGAGGCCAGTAAGAATGTTTTGTTCTTCTATATGCTTTAATAATTAATGATATTCAAGGCTGCCCTTAAAGGAGGCAACCATATGGTAGGTTACTAACAAGCAACAATCCACAAAAGAGTAACTGTGCGTTCAGCAGTTCATTGATAGTTAACAAAAAGGCCTCTTCAATATAATCTTTGTTCATTGCGCATCATAAATCACACAATAGCACAAACGAAAGCCCTCATATCTTTATTCTAAGCAAAGAAAATTTGAGAATTGAAATCGTTAAACCTATCGTTTCTTTCGAGCAGTTTCAGTACAAGAACCTCTGACCTTGAGTAAAGCAAAGCCTCCGACCCACCTGTTATTACCCGACTTCAGTACCAGACATGATGTGGCTTTTTGCAATTTTATGAAGCGTTCTACCATAAGCAAAGACAGCAGAGAACTCACAAGACTGCAAAAAACCGCAACACTAGGGATCATGGAAATCGTTTGATCTTATTTCTTGACTACTTCAGGTCGTACTCGAACACCGACGCAAGCTCCATCTGTAGGAAAAGTGATATTGGAACAAATATTACTTACAAGAATAGTTAAAGAGTATGGGGATACTTAAATACAATGAAAATCTCTACAATAAACAAACTTAAACAACTTACAGCAGTCAAAGCACCCTCAGAACCCTTATTTCCAGCTTTACCACCAGCTCGATCGAAAGCCTTAAAAAGGAGTGGGGGGCGGGTGCAAAAAATACAAAACGATCAGAAATCACATAGCTCCTAGGTTGGATACTTGTTAACAATCTATTCAGATCATATTTACCTGTTCTAAGTTCTCAGTGGTCAAGACGCTAAATACACATGGAATACCTACAAACGCATACGAAAATCGCTTAAGTTTCATCTGCCATCAACTAGGAGATGAAGAAAGAGTAGAACTAAGATGACAACATGGATATAAATGGTATCTAAAAAGATGGTTACAGAGATTACTTGTATTGTAGCTATCAACACTGATATTCAAGTCTATCGATAAATTTCAACACTAGTTGACACAGATAAAGGGTAACAGATAATTCTCATATCGAACAAGAACATAGCTCACCATAGCTCCCAACTGCTCAAACCTAAAACCCTTATCGTTACAAGTCGAACTATTACCAAGGCCTAGCATGCAACTGAGTGAGAAATACAAGCTTGAATTTGGGAAATCATATTTTTTAATAAGAAGCTAGGAATGTGCATGTCATGGCACAATTTATATTTATCTGCATCTACTTATGAATCTAAAACAACCAGGTGCTTATTTTCCTTATCATACCCTGAAATTCCTTAACCCCTCACGGTTCATTGAGGTCAAAACTAGAACAATTAAGCCAACTTCACTGCAATATTTAGTATCTAGAAACTAGTACGATCATATATATCTCAAGATATGATGGCACCAAAATTCTTGAACATAACAATTGGATTCAAAAGCCATAACCACTATGTTCAATGCTCAACCCTCGAGGATGAACTTATAAAAGAAAAGCAATCCAAAACAAAAATTAGTAAGTTGAATTAATAGGCTACAAGAATATAAACTTTTACTAAAGAAAGAAAAGAAAACGAACCTGATTTTAAACCGGCAGAAAGTACTCCAGAAGCAGCAGAGTTTACAACGGCATCATAGTGGGATGTATCTCCTCTAATCTATCATAAAGAAGTGGTTCGTGATATTAACAAGGGAACCAAGACTAGATTATATAAGAGGACTCGATATATATTACGGGAAATCATACCACAGCTCCAATGCATAGGACAGCATGGTACTTTCCAGATCTCCCAAGCCTTTCAGCGACAACAGGAATATCAAAGCTCCCTGGAACCCAGACAACCTGATATGATAGAGAGGTGAATAACATAGTCAACATGCCAAATAAAGTTAAAGCTGCAAGTGAACAAGCAGAGGTCAGATTCGCATTCTCTCATGCAAATCTGATGAAAGGTGTAGATTTTGCTACCCAACTCCACATAAACCCATGATATCTAGTTAAATTTGTTTGCATATACTCATGGCATCGACGAGAATCTATTTTCAGAACATATTTATTCACAAGCTTGCTCACCATAATCTTAATGTTGTTATAAACCAGTTGGCTGATTTGATCAATTAAAGGCAAATGAAACTCAGTTTCCAATACTAGCAAACAAACCAGAAGGTTTGACTTTCACATATAGTATGCTGAAGTGCTTACATCAATATCCTCGTCTTGAACTGAATAACTTTTGAATGTAGACAAAGCTCCCTCGAGCATTGGCCTTGTCACGATTTCGTTGAACCGCCCCACAACCTTCATCAAAGCAAGAAAACATGTCTTCAATAATGCAAGCATGAAATAACAATGTCATGATTAAGTTCTACGAGCCCGTTGCTAAAAATGACAATGGGGGAAAAAAACTCAGTTTAGACTCATGATAACAGAATTCGCTCGTACGGCTGCAGCAAAAAGGCTAAAAAGAAGTTCAGTTTCATACATCACAAGAAAACAAGGCAAAATCACTCCAATACAATCCCTATAATCTAAAATTCTCATCCACAGGTATGTTTCATTGTAGCCAAGCCGAGAAATTTCTCATTTCCGCAGCCACAACTGTGACTATCACATTCATAACCTTTGAATTCGGTGCAAGCAACAAATCAAAAGAACGCTCATTAGTAGCGAATAATTTACCAGACGAGACTGCATCATCTAGAAGCATGTTTCTTAACTAGACTACGACCTTTTAGGTACACGATAAAGAAACACCACTCGCAAATCCGAAATTATTAACAAAAGGCCATTCAAATAGCCTCAAGAACGAACATTACTTCCAGATGTAGCATTCGAGATAGAAAAAAAAGGCAAACAAGGAAGAATTAGAAGAACATGAAGGCATCAAAAAAAAAAAAAAAAGAGCGGGAAAGAGAAATGACCACAGCAAAGCGAAGGCCACCAGCTTTGGCAAGAGATCCGACGATGTGGCGAACGGCATCCGTCTGCGCAAAAGAGGAACGGTGATGCTTTCTAGGAGAGGCATCATTCGCAAGCTTCAATTGAGACGAAAATGAGAGGGATTGAGATTTTGCAGGATTTGGCCCCTGAAATTGAAGTTGAGTGCGATTGAAGTTTGAATTGGAAAATGCGAGCGTCAGATTTTGACGGTAAACCAAGCCCTGAGCCGCACCAGCAAATGAGACAGCCATTATCAACCCACAAAAGAAGCGCCGCGAAGAAGAACCAGTGCGCGTTTCTGCTTCTACTCGCTTTGACTTCTGAACCAGAGAGATGCATATATATATATATATATATATATATATATATATATATATATTTATTTATAAGAATAAATAATTCAATCACTTAAATATATTTATTTTAACAACAAAGTCATGAAACATTACGAAAACTTATGAGATTAAATTTAGACATTAAATTAAATATAATTAGTTTTTAAACCTAATATTTGAGAATTTTTCATATTATTTAATTATATATATTTTTTTAAATTTTAAAGACGAGCTAACTATTTAAATTTATTATCTGATAATTTTAATATTTATTTTTTCAATGCCATAAAATTAATTGATGTTCAATTTCTACACTTTTACAAAATAATAAATTATATATATATATATATATATATAAATAATGCTCATCATGATTCATGCGAATTAATTAAATAACAAAGATAAAATAATTAATTAACCTTGGAAGCACGAACTAAGCCTGGTCCGTTAGATTTGAATATTACAGACAAAGATAAATTTTCATATTATAGTTAGTTGAACACGTCTCTCCACAGTAGTATAATATTGTTCACTTTGAGCATAGACTCTCGTGACTCTGTTTTGGGCATTCTTTGATTATAAACTCATGATCATCCTCTAAATTAGCGACTTTCATCTAACATTGGCCTCATCTATTTTTCCTCTAGGTCGTTCTTTTGTTTTTCTCTTCACTGGACCATGGAAGCTCGACCAACCAAGCATAGATATTGATAGACTGATATCGATAGTTTTTTTTTTTTTTTTTCTTCAAAAGAATACATATGACGATTATTAAAATGGATCTAGCTCCTTGACAAACTGTTCGATGTTTTTATCAGAGCTACCACCTTCATCCATGGCTTCTTTAGCTAAATTTCTCAACTTAATTGAGTTTTGTTTAATCTCATTCTGTCTATATCCTTGAGAAACATGTCGAAGGGAGGCTTCTAACTCTAACTTTGTAGCAATCCCTTTGTCATTCATTTTAACTCGAGCTCCCACTTTCCAAACATCAGCGATGAACTTGGCGTTCGTTGTTTGATCGATCCACTGCGGAACTGCGACCATTGGTACACCTAAGCTTAAAGCTTCTATCGTCGAGTTCCAACCACAGTGCGTGACGAAGCAACTTACGGCCTTGTGAGACAGAACTTGTAATTGACAACACCACTTGACAACTAAACCTTTGTGCGATGTTTGTTGTACGAAGTTGTTGGGAAGCTTTTCTTGTTCTGATTCTCTCAAGACCCATAAAAAAGATAAGTTAGTGTTCTTGAGGAAACTGGCCAGCTCATTCACTTGTTTGTCGGGTAAGATAACTAAGCTTCCAAATGAGATGTAAATGACTGAAGCAATTTCTTTCGAGTTTAACCATTGAAAAATCTTGCAATTGTTGAGATTTTGGTGATTTAGACCGTATGTTTTGTCATCCTTCAAGCGACCATCCAAATATGCTGATGGAATGCTTGGTCCGATCGTCTTGATTGGCCATTTTTGTGTCATCCAATTAACAACCTGGATGTGAGCGATTCATAAAAATTCCATAATCAATACCCGAAGAAGAAAACTAAAAACATTAAAGTTCATATTTTGTTTTGAAATTTATATGAAGATGAGTTCCACCTAACCATTCGAAGACGGTCCGAGAGAATCTCAATGTTCAAAACAAAGCATAGTAGTAAAGAGTCAAATTTAATTCGAACCCATATTTAATTCATACCATCTGTTATAGACAAAATAACGAATGGATCTTGTAAGATTCTCGGAAATTCTTCGATTTCTTCTCCATAATCATTTATTCATCTGCTTTTCATGTTCTCTACTAACCGAGACATTGAACAGTATCCAAAAAAATATTTAAGGAATCGGGAATATGTACATCTAGATTACCGAAGAATTAAAAGAGATGCTAATATAATATCATTTTCGTTCATGTATTTTGAATTTTATTTCATTTTATATTTACAGTTTCAAGTATCTATAAAATTTAGAAATATTTTAATAATTTAGTAGTTAGAATCATTCTTGATCAAATATCATTATGAAATGAACAATATTTCTAGGGATTAGACCTAAATTTTCAAATACGAATCAAACAAGATTCAACAAGCATACCTTCATCTCCAGCTGATCGAAAGTGTTGACGAAAATCCATTTCGCGTTCTTGAAACTGGAAAATTGATCGGTCATGAATTTCAGGACCAGTTCTGGCTCGTAGGAGAAATACGGCAGATCCTCTGTTTGAAGAACAGGCAACGGCGGAATCGAAATCCCCGCCGCCACATTTTCCACCGGAGGAATGCTGAATGAGCCTTTATAGACCTGATTCAGAATGTGATTGACGACACAAGACTCAGTGAAAAACGGCGCCGAACCGATCCCTCGCACTCTTGCCACATCCATCGCCCAAGGCATTACAGAATCGAAAACGACGAAGCGCGGAGGATCGTAGCCAGAACTTCTTAGTGTTCCGTCGATGAAATCCCCAAACGATTTCGATACGACGGCCTCGAAGCTCTCGTGCTCGTCCTTCAGCGACAGAATCGGTTCGGTGCGGACGTCGGAGATGAATCGAAGATCGATTTGATACGACGCAGGAAGATCGATTTCGAGAGATTTAGTTGCAGAGGTAGTGGTGAGAAATGTTATTCGAAGGCCTTTTGAGGCCAATCGCTTTGCGAACTGAAGCATTGGACTCAGGTGGCCTTGCTTCGGATAAGCGAACAGCACCACATGGCTCGATCGCCTTCCGCCGTTCGCCGTCGTGTTGCTCATTCTCGCCGGTATCTCTCAGTAATGAAGATTGAAATAGTTAACCAGGAGAGTCATTGCACGTCTAAAAAAGAGTTCTCAATAAAATAAAAAAACAAAAAAAAATCTATAAATAAAAAAGAAGTGGCCCTGGTGGGTGCCCCCAACACGTGAAACACGATGATGTCTAATATTTTAGGTTTAAATCTGATTTTAATAAATTATTTTATTTTATTTTGATTTCTTATATTTAAAAAATATATTTTTTTTCTTTTTAAAATTTTTTTAAAAGTAATTGAGATTTTGTTTTAGTATAATAAATATGAGACATAATGATTTGAGTCCTTCAAGTTATATATTTTAATTATTGATAGGTAATAAAAGACTACATTATTTTAAAAGTTTTTTCAAAATTTAAAAATATGAGATAGAATGATCGGGATTCTCAAAAAGAGCGCCTCGAGCATTGAGTTCAAACCACGGTGCATGAAGTAATCGACAGAGTACGAGCTAACCACAATACCATTCTCTCCAACATAACATAATCAGGAGGCTCGCCATGAAGCCATTTGAGATAGACATCTTAGTTGAGTTCGTACAGGCTCAAACCCTAGTTGTTCCTAGGGTTATCATTGTTGATGGCAATGGCGACAATGGTACAAGCATTAGTTCGAATTTGAGGTCAAAGTGCATCAAGGAACGATACATTTCGTTGTCAACCTGAACCTGGTCTCATTGGTTCCACTGCCATCGCCCCAAGGTTCAAAAACTTCAATGTAAGAACAATCTACAACAATGAGGATGCACAATGATACTCAAATAATTTGGTCAGTTCAGCAACAGGAAAATAATCAAATAAGACCTATCAAAATTTTGATACGATACGGTCACGATACCATAAAGTTCATATCAAACTCATTATTTAGCAATAGCAACGAAAAAATCCTTACGTTTCCGAGGCCTCCGTCTTCCAAATCCAGATGAATGATAGGGAAAGTGATCCCAACTCCAATTCCAAATGAGCAACCTTGATTAAATTAATGAACAACATGACAAGTAGAAAAAGCAGATACAATTTCATGAAGATTGTTCTTCCAGTCCTAATTCTGGCCATAGATAAAATTGATTCCAAAGCCCATCCCAGTTGTGAATGCAGTTAATATACACAAAGGAATTGATAATGAACATACAGAATAAAGGGATCATACAGATCAAACAATCCTCCAGTAAATAACATAGCTCATTATTGTTGATGATACTCGGGGTTAAATGCAAGTGCCTCTCGGTAGATCAGCTCTTTCATTTGTTCCTCAGTGAGAGCGTGCTGCTCGAAATCGAAGCTGAAGGGTGTCATGCACACAGGCTCGTCACTAATGTCGTGCAATGAAGTCAAATAAGGATGAGCTAGAGCATCTTCAACTGCAAAAACATACATAGATGATAATAGAATACACCAATAAAAATGACAGTTAAAAGAATCAAATATGATATCAGCCAGCATCCAGGACACAGTTCACAGTTACGAAAATGTTCAAAAAATACATTGAATTAACAGAAGAATGGCCATCTACATAGTTCAGAAACCAGACAATTCAAACGCCCGAACGAGGAAACCAATCTGTATGGTCTTGCCTTAACCCAATTGGGATTTATATTTAATTGAAGAGATCAATAAAATAGTATTGCCCTGTGATCAGACAACGGGATACGGTACAAAGTATTTTGGTGCCTGAAAAAGAATAATTTTTTCATTGATAACATAACAAGAAAAAATTGCAATACTAACTCACCGGTAATTCTCTGTCCAGGATCAAATGCTAGCATCTTCTCCACCAGATCAATGGCTGAAGGATGAACATGTGGAAACTTTTCAGTGAATGACTGCCGATGGTAGTGAGGAAGTTGTCGTATGTATCTTTTAGCGTTCTCGTTCAAGAAACCAAGATCAGCCTCTGATGGAGTGCCTATCAGCTGCATGATAGAGCAGAGAAGACTAAAACAGTAAACAAATGAATACCATTGATAACAAGAATTGTTTGTGAAGTAAGGATATATTTCATAGGAGTTGCTTCTGAGGGTTTTTTTTTTTACACCTAATACTATTTAGATGCACATACATATATGCATACTGAGGTGAAAACCAGCCAGTTCAATTTGATCTGTTTAACACATTCCGAAACAAAACCAAACTGTCGAAATAAAAAACGGAAGGACCTCTTCAGATTCAAGCGTTGTCTTGTACTATTATGTCCAAAATAAGTTTAGTTTAGGTAGGCTCAGCTCCGTCTAAATTTTAAATACTAAAAGATTTGAATGTGCTCGATATTTAACACCCAACACATGAGAACTATTCATAGAAGGGGGGGGGTCTCTAAAGCTTAAACAGCTTGTTTCTTTCTTTCTTTCGTGATCAATAGGCAAATAGTATATTGATTTTCTCTTATTTTCTTATTAATATATAAGAAACTATTTCGTTCAAATGAATTTTGACCACCAAAATTGGACGATTGTGTTCGTGCTAAGAACCAAACATGAAGAGTATCAAGAGAGACTATGAAAGTACCTCCAAAAGCAAGCGTAACTGATGCACATGATCTCGACCAGGAAACAAGGGCTTCCGATCCATCAGTTCCATAAAAATACAACCAACAGACCAGACATCAATAGCTGCTGTGTAATCAGAAGAATTAAGTAAGAGCTCTGGTGCACGGTACCATCTAGTAACCACATATTCCGTCATAAAGTCAGTTTCAGAAGTAACACGAGCAAGCCCAAAATCGCATATTTTCAGGTCACAGTTGGCATTTAATAGCAGATTGGAAGGCTTCAAATCTCTGTGTAGAACATTTGCTGAATGTATGTACTTCAATCCACGAAGAATCTGGTACAGGAAGTACTGCATGATACATAAAGACGGTAATTATTTTGATGTAGAAACCAATAGAAGTATCCCATTAAAGGATGTTACATGGTCGCATGTTACTTGATAAGATTGAGTATGAAAGGAAAAATTCACGTTTTCAACATCCTCAAAAGTTCTTAAATCTTGTTATCCATCTAAGCATCTAAACAGAATTGTTTTAACAACCAAGAGATTAACCAAGATCCAATACTAGAACTAGTGTCAGAGGAATTCCAGTATCTGAATTAAGTCCAAGTCCCATACTTCCTCTATCGTCTAAAGTTCAGGTTCCAACACGTTCTTGCATTCCACGGACTGAAAAATCTAGGATATTGAAAAGGGACAACCCACATCAAGCTTTTTTCTAAACTTCCACCAAACATTCACTTTCCATTGAATGATTGGTAATTTTCTAGTTTACTAGGAAATAAACATCCTGTTAAGCTCAGTTGTCCAATAGCCAGACTATTTGAAAGGGTGTTTGCAAGGTAAAGGAGGACTAGGCGTCCACCAAAAAACCAAAATCAAGAGCAAAAAATGAGATAACTATAAAGAAAATGTCAGGTCGGGACTTTCACACAACACACATCATAGCTTAATATGGTATCAATAGGGTATATGCCACCCCCTAGGAGTAGCCTGTTTTCATCTTTTAAAGCTAGCTCAGAATTAAAAAATATTATCCTACTTCAAGCTTAGCCTCCTTATTTTACAAATGTTTCTGAAAGATTTACTAAAATAATTGGAAGAGCGCACAAATTCTAAATGATCCAGAGGGTTGATATCTAAATATTTTAAAACACAGAAATAATCCACCAACAAGTGCGTGTACAGAATATAACCTGACAGTGCTCCTCTGATAATGCTTGGTTTGAACGAATTATTTGATGAAGGTCGGTATCCATTAACTCATATGCTATGTAAACATCATTAAATGTTTCCCTTAGAGGCGGAGGAATGATATCCCTAATTGCAACAACCTGAATCACCATCATCAGTAATACAATTATACAAACATTTCAAAAACACTATAACTCATCTCATGGGGGCATTAGCACAACCAAACTAAAAGCTACATGGAATGCCCTTAAAGTAAAAAATCATATCTGATTGCACAACAATCCATCTCAAAGTAAAAACATAACTTCACAACGTTATTGTGCTGGTACAGAAATTAACACCAAACTAGAAATTAATAAGTAGAATTAAAGAGAAAAATAGAACAGAACGAAATCCAATGAAATAGACCCAAAGTACATATTCAACATTTAAGAGATCATAACACCAACGATTCTTTTGGAGATCTGAGTAATATCATTCCATTATTATGTAATTCCAATATATTGTGATGACATCCAAATTAAACCTTGACACCCTACCAGAGTTAAAAATGTATTGATGGCAGGATGTGCGGTTGCAAATTGCAGCTTTCTTTCACATAATCTTAGTTTTCTTAAGTTCAGTAAAAGAGATCTTTATACAGTAGGGTTAAATCTTAATTCTTATTAAAAGATTTTCCCTAACCTACACCCTAGGTTTGATACACAGGATAGCAACCACTAGAAGGAGAAATTTATGCATTCTTAATCGTTTTTTGTGAGATATGGATTTAAAGTATTATGTGTATTACATTTCCTACGTATTGAATCATGTTAAGTAAGTAGTTCCATTATTGGACAAATTTCTTAAGTTGCTTTGGAACTGGAAGTTTAAAAGCCTCGTGCACTATTTCTTTCTAAATCATAAATCCTTTAGAATTGTACTCAGTTCCATTATTCTTATATCTATGTATACCCAAGCTCTCAAAGGACAACTGTCTAACCCTACAATATTTGGTTGCCAAGGTAACTCATAAGATATTAAATTCTATTTAAGTCACCAGTACCCCCTCCCTGACAAAAATCTAAAGGAGCTTTCCAATTTGATCGAATCATGGATAAGCTACAATTACAAAAGAATTTTTTTGTGCTTCAAGCACCACCAGGAAGCTAGAGACCGAGTATTTCTACAAAAGGAAGCAAAAGAAGAAGACTTATTTTGAAAGACCAGGTGGTTTCTTTCAAGCCAATGGTTCCTGAAAAGCACTCCCACAGCCAAATTACATCTAGTATTCCTTACATGAACAAATTCCTTCATGACATGGAAATTAACAAAGGACATCTAGGGTGGTGGTTTAAGGACAAAGCAACGAGAAGTTATTCAAGGAGGCTGGAACATAGTGACTGACTGATGAATGGCTTCCTCCCTCCATATTATTTAACTTTTACATTAAAATTTAAATAAATATTTTACAAACCTCCTACTTTTCTCTTACCTTAAATATTTACTTATACATATTGAGAAAAAGAATTCAACCCAATTTTCTTTTGGACCGTCCATGCTCTAGGAAAATTTTCTAATGCTTGCCATGAAAGGGAATTGAAGTTCAAAGACATTAAGAAGATACCTCACTTGGTTACACCTTTCCCAAGTCAACAACTTTGAATAAAGAGATATAGATGCATTTTTAACTTCAAAGGTATTGGAACATAAAACACCTTCATGCTCTGCTTTAATCTTCTATGATTGTGTTTCAGAACAAGCCACTTCTCCATGTTCATTCATAACTACCAAGGATAAAGTTACAAACATAGTCTATTTGTCTGTGGGACCCTAATGTATATGTGTTCATGACAGAGCTCCAATACAATGAACTTGTGTTAGATTAGGGAAAATCCAGCAAAGAGAGTTGGATAAGAGGCTGAAGATGAAGCTAGATGAGTAGGGACTCAGGAGGACTGAAGGGAAGTTTAGTGCTAGATTGAAGCAACAAGCACGTACACACTCCGAGCTTCTTGGTCAATAGCAAAAGAACCAGTCAGTCAAATGAATGTTTGTAAGAAAAGAGAAGGAAAGCCTAGGGAATATGAATGCTACGACTCTCAAATTTTCCTGTAACAAAGGCAGAAGGAAGTTCACCTTTCCTCTGTCCTCTTCCATACAAATTCACACTGAAATTTACAATTAGTTAAGTCTCTTTTTACCTATTCCATTCTCCTTGGTGAACATCAGACAACTTTACTTGATGCAGTACAATAACATAGTACTGTCATGCTGCATATAAGTTGATAGGAAAATTACTGAGGATTTAGAATGAAAAAGCTTGTCACCTGCTAACTTATATATTTTAGGAGTTCTGATTTTCATTTCAGACTAGGGTAGAGCATTGTTTGTCCTTGGAAAATAATCAATGATTCTGATACAAAAGTGAGGATTTAAAGCTTAAACGTCAACCAATGTACATGATGAAAGTTTTTTAAAGCTTAAACGTCCAGAAAGTTACTTCTCCTTCAGCTTTTCAGATGATAAAAGACAGGAAAAGGTTAAAAGAAACAGATTTCGCATATCTTATAATCACTCACTGACGTTTTCATGATCCATGTGCCGAAGCAGCTTGATCTCGCGAAGAGTTCTCTTAGCATCGATCTTGTTGTCAAACGCATTAGCAATCTTCTTGATCGCCACATGCTCGTTCGTCTCGGAGTTGAGAGAAGAACTGATAAATCAAACCACACACCACAAATCAACAACAGCAAAACAAAGATACAAACGAAAACAGAACTCCAAAGCATTGACAAGACAAAACAAAGAAAAACTCCAAAGAAAAGAGATCGCATAGACCAGACGATGCCGTAAGCGCCTTTGCCAATAGGCATGATTGGAGGCTTGTACTTAGCCGTAACTTCAAAGATATTCCCAAAGATGTTGTACTGAATGAATCGCCCTCCATGGCTCAAAGTCGCCGGAATATTTTCCATCCCCATCGGTGGTGGCTGGTGTCCCGCCGGGTCATGCTGCGGCGGCGGAACAGACGCCGCCTCCGACATGACGGTGTCGTCCGGCTGAGAAGCTCCTCCGTCCATTAAAATTGAGCGAAATTGAATGGGTTTTTTACCAGCTGAATTTGAAAAAACTTCAAGCCCTAGAGCTTAATTAGAATCAAAATTGAAAGAAATAAAAAAAAAATAAAAATAAAATAAAAAAAGAAAAAAGAGATGGATCTGATCTGACCGCCCCTACTTGTAAAAGTTGCCGCAGCCCTTACTCCAATTTTTGTTGTTGTTGTTGTTCTTCCTTTTTTGTTGTAAAGTTATATTTTATCTTCTAATAATTAACAGAGAACTCTCCATTTCCCACGACGCTGGAAATTAGTAACAAACAAATTAGTTTATTGATTAGTTGCATTAATTTCCCTTTTCTTTTTTTGATGTAATTTATTTTCATTTTAATTAATAATTCTATTTTCTTTCTTTCTTTAATATAAATCTGATTTTGTTAATATTTTTGGCAAATTTAAAGATCTGACTCATACCTTAAAATGTATTCATTTATTTTAATCAATCCATTTTAATATAAACTGTAAATGAAATATTAAAATATGAGTCATTAATTCATTTGTCCTATGATTAAAAAAATATAAATTCTAATTCTAATTCTAATGCATTCATGATTTTTTTCCTTCTCTCTCCTGTTTTGTTTGTTATCATCTTTTACCTTAAATACATGAAACAATAAATGATTAAGCTTTTTATTTAATATTCGAGGTAAACTAGTTGATAATATGGTCGTCTTGTTTTTTTAATAAAAAATTGTTTGAGAAATCTAGAACGTGTTTGGATTGACTTCCAAAAGAAAAATATTTTCTTAAAATTTTTACGGGCTTTAATAATTATTTAATATATATTTTTTAAATGAACTTGAAAAATCGATCACTTGAATGGACACTTAATTCAAATGATAAATAGAGAAAAAACTAAATGGTAATAATACTCTTATATTACCTTCGCTTTTTATGTCAACGTCACTCGTGATTGTTTGACCCGCTAGATGGCACTCACAATCACCGCTACTTAACTGTTAGAGACCGTCATTAAAGAGTAATGCCATCAGCTTACTATGTGGTCATAATATTTGTCGAAAGATTTTAAGTATATAACAAAACAAACTTGTACATAAAAACTAAAAAATGTAATAAACATATAAATGTTTTAATTTTAATTTTTTTTTATATAAAAAAATATTTCTAAGTAACATTTTTAGATGAAATNCTTGGTTGGGACGAAATCTTGACTTCAAACGGCGGTTTGGATGGATTGCGAGTTTCTCTCTCTAACTCTCTAGCAAAAACCCTAAAAGAACTCTAAAACCCCTTTTGTATTTTTCTCCAGATCTAATCAGGGATTGCATAAGGCATCCAGATTTTGGTCAGAATTGTTGTAAAAATCCCACGAAACATTGAGTTTTTGGTACTTCCGGCAGCGTGGGTTCTTAAAGGGAGTTTCTCCGGCGAGCTTATGCATCTGTAATTCAGTTTTCCAATTTTTTATATAATAAAATTGTTGACTTTCTCTTACAACCATCAATTCAAACCCAGAGGCCAAACAAAAGAACAAGAACATCAATCACAATTCATTAACGATTAAAAAAATCATGCTTTTCAAACCCTAAGCCGCCATCTCATTTCCTTCTCTCTCCTTTTCTTTTTCACACCACCACCGTCGCCGCCACAAACACCACCACCACCTCATTTCCTTCTCCTTTTTTATCTTTTTCCACCACCACTGGTGCTGCCGCCTCCTCCGCTGCTGCCATCGTCACCGTCACCACCACCACCGTCGCCGCCACCGCCACCCCCACCCCCACCTCATTTCCTTCTCTCTTTTTCTTTTTTCCCTCAACTTGTCCACCACCACCACCACCGCCACCAAAGTTCTCCGTTCCTTTCTCAAATTGGGTTTACAACCACCAATTTAAACCCAGAAGCCAAACAAAAAAAAAAAAAAAAAAAAAAAATCAAACACATAGTCTATCAGTTGACCATAATTTTACATTTTTTTTAAATAATAACCTCATTATTATTATTTAGTACGAAATTATTGATTTTAAATTCATTTTTTAAGGAATATACTCAATAAAATAGATTTAATTTAATATATTTTTAACTTTGGTTATTTTGGTTCATTTGGTCATTTAGGTTCGAACGTTTATCTATTTTGTACCTCTACTTTAAAAAGTATGCTTTGACTTTTGTACCTTTAACCAAATTCTAAAGTTCGACCAATTTTAAGATTTTATTTAAAAGTAAAAGGATTAAATTTAAAAATTTAAAAGTATATAGACTAAAATAGAATAATTTTGGAAGTAGAGGAACCAAATCGTTCCTTAAGTGATATGAGGCAGAATGTATCTTTCTATTTCCTCTCAAATTTCATTTTCACGGCAACAAATATATTTCACAAGAAAAGGTTGATGCCGAACAACATCAATGAGTCGACGAGACGCTAGAATACTCCAAATCTTCGAATGGTAAAGGAAATGCATAAAAGTAGCATAGATAGATATAGAGGGAAGGAACTCACTCTACCACGTGAATGAAGGCAGTACATAAGACGGATACGCATCATATTTTGAAGCTAGAGCTTTGACAGAATTTAAGTCAGCAATTTCGTCAAAATTACCAAGACCAAGCTCGGTTGCATGAATGCCACCCGTTATGAAGACTGATTGGATTCCAGTTGCATTTGCACCCTTGATGTCATGGTGGAGTGAATCGCCAACAGCAATGGAATCAGAGGCATCCACTCCAACCATAGACATTGCTGCTTGGTAGATAATCTGATATCATAGGGAAAATGATTACTACAATAATGGCATCGAGGAAGTTCCTATTAGCTACAACCAATTCGACCAAATGGCATTCGCCTATCTATAAGGCTGAACCTTAATGCGATTTTACGGTTAGAAGTTAACCTTTTATAAATTTTATAAATTTTAAGCTTAGAGACTAAATTATTAAGTTTAACCATAAGTTTAGTCTATAGTTTGTGTCTAATAAGTTCTTAAATACTAAAAAGTATTTGATAGGCCATCAAACTTCTAATTTTGTGTTTAATATGTTCTTGAATTGTAGAATGATTAAATACATTCGACTCTCGATGCAAAAAGGTCATGGCCAAAATGGAGTTGTACTTGAATCTAATATCAAAGGCCATATGAATTAATACGAACAATTCGAGCAAGGCTAAACGAATTAAAACAATCAATATCACCTTATCAGGTTTGCCCATCCATTTTACTTCACCACCGAGATTTTCATATTTGGATGCAAGTGTACCTGCAAACACCACTAGTTCTCGTTACATTGGCTAATTAAAAAATAAAAGTCTTGGTGTTCTATATCACCAGCATACAAAGAGCCCTACAAACTAAGGACCTGAGTGGGTTTTTTTCCTTCAGAGAAATTTTTTGAGATCCAATTAAAGCGATGTATCATTTCATTTTCCTACAACTCAAATCACGTAACTAGTCCTGTAAAAAGAGCCCTACAAACTAAGAACCTGAGTTATCATAAACACCTTTTCTCTGTGTAAAATACTTTGTGAATCTCAAGCAGGCTTTCACTGCATTGATTTATCATTGACAAGTGAATATTTTTTTTGGGTAAGAGAGAAAAAATTTCATATAAAAAACAAAGGAGATACAAATAGGGAGGGAAAAAAAAGAAAATAAAGAGGTGAAGAGATGAATCTCCTCCCAAGTAACCAAATATATATTTCTTACCAGGCATTACACGCAAATCTCTAGCTTCAACAGTCACATAATCTGGGTTGGCTACCACCATGGGAATCTTTTTGGCTGCACACTGCTCCAATATTTTCTCGAGTTCCTCGAGTGTCATTGGAAGTGGATCACCGGAAGGATGCCCCAAAGCTTCAGTACCATGGGCCAATATAAACTCAGCTTCTTCAACATTGTCCACAACTCTTAGGCCCAGACCCTACAGACAGGAAAAATCCAGAGTTCACTACAAGTTCCCCCTTCACATTTTCACGTTTCAGCTTTCAGAGTTTTCACAATTTCCAGTAACGCGTGCATTTTAGTCCCTTGAAAATTGAAAAATAAGGGAATCAAGTTAAACAGCAAATATAACTGCGCTGAGAAAGCGCTCAATTATCCTTGCACAAGGCTGCAAATTTCAAGTCTCTTTTCTGTGTGTGTGTGTGTGTGGCGTTGGCGTTGGCGTGAAATCAGGGATCGACTGTGAAAGATACAGAACGACGACAGAAACACCAACAATTCACAGATCTGACTCAACCTCAAGTGATATGGCTCCACGGGAACTCCAAGTCATGTGAATGCAAGATCTACCAAGAGCAGCAAACCACGCATCATCCCTCCTTTTGATAGCAGAAACCATAAAATGAGTTCACTAAAACGGAAAGCCTCCCATAAAATCAATCTCGAAGAAACAAATATAATAGCACAAAGAAGACAAAACGTGGAGGTAGCTGCTGGACTTAGGTATGCATTTTTTTTGTCCATTAAGCAGTCTCAGTGTTGCCAGATACGATAATAATATTCATGGTTCGATAACAAGCATGCGCTCTGCATTTTGGAAGGGGACAATCATGAACACGGTAAGAGGCAAACTGCTCCAACGATGAAAAAGAAAAAGAGAAATATCTAATTAAGCAACCAGTGAATAATGGTAAGAGAAATATACTACGCAGTGTACATGATGTTGTTCTCAGTGTAAAAGAACTAAGTTGAATCAAATATACTTGGCGACCATGGATGAAATGGGGTTTATGTTAGACTTGCGAGTATAAAACACAAAGACTAGCAGCTTGACAAAGTTTTAAAAAAGATTATCAACCTGTGCAAGTACCGATGAGTAAGTTCTCCACTTGTAACGGCTCCAACAAATAGACTGGGGTCAAATCCAAGGCTCTTCAATTTTTCCATTGTCGTCGATGATCGTCTTGAAGAATTACTTATGATAACCATCTTAGTACCACATTCTGCCAACTTTTCCACTGCGTCAAAATGGAAGTAATGCAATTATTAGCGTTGTGCTCAAACTCTAATGTGCTGAAGCTAACCCAGTCAATGAAAGGAAAGTCATCAAAGAGCTAAATCAAATGCATGGAAACGCACACGCTACAACAGCTCCAGGATAAGGCTGTTTTCCATCATGCAGAACTCCAAATTGATCCAAAAACCATGCCTGCACAGTCACCAGCATATTTATCACGATCTCACGAGACAGAAATCCAACATAGCAGCATTTGAGAATTGAGCCACTTTAAGAAGCACTCGAACGTGTGGCGTACGTCGTAACATTTAAAGATAAGTTAAGCTACACTACATTTCCAAGATTTTGCAGAACCAAAAATTGCGTTGCCATGGATATAATTAAATAAGCATTGGAGACTTCTCCACATCAACTCAACTTCAACAACTATTGATCCAATAAAAGCTTCAAGTCAAGAAACGCCATTAAAAGTGTTGGAACTGAAGTGGACGAAGAAATTCAAGCTTTGATTCGGCTAGAAATGGAATGAAACATTCAGTTAAGAAAGTTTCATCGATCTGGTAAAAGTTTAAAGTCAAAAAACGCAATCGAAAGGAATGAAATTGAAACAAACTTTGAAATTCAACCTTTGATTCGGTTTAGAGATGAAGTAGGAAGAACCAGAATTCAATACGATCAAATCGTGAGGAAGCAATACTAATCAGATTACCTTGAAGCGACGGGTCTCGGCTAGCTGTTGAAGGCCATTCAAGCTCTGAAACAGGCGGGACTCGGGCGCCATCACAGACCATCCAGGCGCCATTTTCTCCTCTGCTCTAAAGATTTCTTTGGTTCTAATTATACGAATTAAAAAAAAAAACAAAATTATTTACTTTGGGCTTTCGGCCCAATAATAAACGAGCCCATACCCATTTGACTCTTATGGACCGGCCCATTTCATGCGGAATATCAATTTTCGCGGAAAAATAAAATAATAATAAAAATTAAAAATAGTCACCATGGCGGTGGCGGCAACCTAAAACGTCAACTATATCATACGATCTCAACCGTTGATCACGTCACCTTAGGGTTCCTATAAATAGCAGATTCTTCGACCTAAAAACTCCTCTGATTGCTTAGGCCGTCTCCGCATTTCTCTTTCCCTCAGTCTACTTCAGGACTTGGCTTTCGAGATGGTGAGTCTTTTGCTCAACTCCTAAAGAATATTCTAGATTCTTCAATCGTTCTTGAAGCTCAGCTGAATTTTAGGATTCAGTTGATGCAATGGAACAGAAATTAGCTGCATTTTGTACTTGTTTTTTTTTTTTTTTTTTTTTTCTTTCTTGGGGATCTCGACGTTGCATTAGCTTTTAATTCGGCGATATACTCGCATTCAATTGATATGTTCTGTTGTTTGATCGAGTTGTTTTCAAAAACATTGCGTCTCATTTATGATACTTGTTTCGGTGTCGAAGTGTAGTAAGTTTAAGTGGTATATATTTTGCTCATTATGTTCGTTTATTGCCGACGATTGTTACCTGTGAATTATCACTGGCATGTCTGATATCTTCAGGCGTTTGGGGAACGATTGAAGCAACTGCATTGTTTCGCTTGATTTTGTTTTCATTGTTTAATATTGCTCCAAGCAATCAGACAAACATTTATGGTTTTTTTTTTTTTTTTTTTTTTTTTTTTTTTTTTNTTTTTTTTTTTTTTTTTTTTTTTTTTTTTTTTTTTTTTTTTTTTTTTGCAGGCTTTTGCGAAAGCTCAAAAGACGAAAGCGTACTTCAAACGATACCAGGTCAAGTTCAGGAGAAGAAGAGGTATTTCCAATTTTTTGTTGTTTTATCTTGATGAATAGACTTGAAAAGTTTTTCAGTTTCTGATGTTGATCTCCTCTCCTGATAATGTACAGATGGTAAGACTGATTACCGTGCTAGGATTCGCCTCATTAATCAAGACAAGAACAAGTACAACACTCCCAAATACCGTTTTGTTATCAGATTTGTATCCTCATGCAGTTTGCTAAATAGCGCAGTTATGTTTTGTTTTATTCTCCAGTTGTTTCTTGATAAACTTGCAACGAGTGTTTTGGATCTTCCTCTCCCTTTTTCCCCTACTTCATTCCCCAACATAGGAATTTTTAGTTGGATGCATCATTTACTTAAGAGTTACGAGATGCAGGTTCTGTGGATTGGTCTATTGATTTATTTTGCTATCTTTGATAGGCTTCCTTATGCTATTCTGTGGTATAGTTATTCATCAAATTTATTAAAATAGGATCAGTTCTTTTCCTTTTACGGTCCACGTTTAAATTCCTGCAAGTTCTCAATTTTCTCTAATTTCCTTTGAATACATTTGACTTTCTGTTAATAGCTATGAGTACCTTTTTATGTGCATCTGTTGATATGAATGGTGAGCTCTACTTGTGTTCACTTGAGAAATGGGAACCTTGACGTTAATATCTAGTCTAATAAGGATATTACAGCACAAATACTATCTTCTAGTATTGCTGGTGACATGGTTCTTGCTTCAGCTTATTCTCATGAGCTGCCTCATTACGGTCTTGAAGTTGGTCTAACAAATTATGCAGCAGGTAATATTTTTGCACTGCATGTCTCTGGGTGAGTTTTTTTTCCCCATCTTTTTCTAACTTCTTCATTTGTCTGGAATGGGTGTATGAAACGTGTGTAGCCTACTGCACCGGACTTCTCTTGGCTCGCCGTGTCTTGAAGAAGCTTGAGATGGATGATGAGTACGAGGGTAATCTTGAGGTAATCTACCAGTCCCCTCCATCTTCTCTCAAAAAAGAATACTATGAAATCTAAATAAAATGAAGTTCACCTCTTCTGTTATGGCTTACCCATTCCATTAAAAGTTTTATCCACTGAAAGTATTTGTATAATTAGGTTACCGGAGAGGATTACTCTGTGGAACCCACAGATAGCCGAAGGCCTTTCAGAGCCCTCCTTGATGTAGGTTTAGTCCGAACAACAACAGGAAATCGTGTTTTTGGTGCCCTCAAGGTACTTTTAGCTATTCCATTTAAGATGAGCTTCAAGATCCGTCCTTTTTCTTCTATTTGCAATACTTTTTATATGGTTCGATGAGTGTTGCATGAGTGCCTTTATTTATTTTTTTAACCCATGGCAGGGTACAAAATGAGTAATGTATCTTGTTGAACCAATTGTACATTTATGTGACATGTATATGTGTGTATTTTCTATATTTTGTTCTTTTGAACGTCTATTTCAAATTTGAGCTTCCATGTTCATTATAATTTTGCTGCTTATTGTATTTGTGATGATAAGCTTTCAAGTTCGCTGCAGTATCTGTTCGCGATGTAATTTGAAGGATTACAAATTTCCAATTGGGACATTAAATATTAGTGGCTCTTGGTATCTTTTCTATAACCACTGAAGCTATATATTTCACGTCACACAGGGAGCTTTAGATGGTGGATTGGATGTACCACACTCTGTCAAGAGGTTTGCTGGATTTTCAAAGGACAGCAAGGAGCTCGATGCCGAAGTTCATCGCAAATACATATTTGGAGGTCACGTTGCTGCCTATATGAGGGTAAATTTTCATAAGTTTTTTCTTTATAACTAGTACAAAAGTTTCAGTATTAGTGCACAAACGAATTAGAATAGCCATGAAAATTCGTTTTCACTCTGAGTTGTATCACCAGACCTTGATGGAGGATGAACCAGAGAAGTACCAATCGCAATTCAGTGAATATATCAAGAAGGGGATAGACGCCGACAACATTGAGGAGTTGTTGAAAAAAGTTCACTCTGCCATCCGTTCAGAACCCTTGGTGAAGAAGGTTGAGAAGCAACCACCAAAGAAGCACAAGAGGTAAATGTCGAAACTCGGTTCGTTTTTTATGATTGAACTAGCATTTTTAGTTCTGCATTCTTACGCGGTTTGTCTGATAGGTATAACTTGAAGAAGCTCACGTATGAAGAAAGGAAGGCCAAGTTGGTTGAGCGTTTGAATGCGTTGAATTCTGCTGCTGGAGCTGACGACGACGAAGACGATGAAGAGTGATTCAACCCGACACAAACTGTATTTCTACCAATTCTATCATTACAAACTCCTCAGTTTAAGTGAAAAGATCTATAGATTATTTTTTGAGTCTCCCCGAGGCAATTTTGCAGCATTGTTTAAGCGTTTAGTGTTCTAGTTTTAGATTGGCAATGAAGATGTTAACTTGGTTGTGTGTTTATTTATGCCAATTGCATCTTTTATTTTCACGCAGTTGATTCATTGGATAGAATGCTTTATGCTTGGGACTGACCTAATCTTGGACGAAATAGATGGGAATTATTTTCCTTTCCGAATAAACCAGATAGGTCATTTATTTTATTTTTTTAAAAAAGAATAATTGAATGTCATAACTGGATGGAATTAATTAACATACTAACCTTTGTTATGATATTGTCCCTTGGTAGCTTTGCTTTGGTCAAAGCTTCTCCAAAAGTTCTCGTTCTAGTGGAAAAAGTATTCTTTATTTATAAATTTTATTTTTATCATTTCTAAAATTAATCGGACTTCTCTAAAATGTCTCATTTTCAGTGGAAAAGAGTATTCTTTATTTATAAATTTTTAGCATTCTTTAAAATAGCTAGCCGGTACTTTCATCATCCAACAACCATTACTAAAATTTCGGCATTTTATTTTAAAATATGATTTTTATTTTATATTATTTCAAATCTTATCAGAAAATTATCTCCAAACCAAAAAAAAAATCTTATCCGAATAAGAAAAATCCAAAGAAGAAAAAGCGATTTGACAAATTATCTGACTTCTGTTTTTAATAGATGAAGAACATAAAAAATAGTAATAAATAAAATAGCAAGAAAAAAATTAAATGATTAGTTGAATGGCTGAGCAGTGTCTAATCCAGTGTGATCATGAAGTGACAGAGATTAGCATTAATCAGAGGCAGCGAGCAAAGCCACATGGAATCAAGAACAAGATTTTCACACCCCACCAGTAGCAAAACGTGAGGCGAAGAACAAGAGTTGAAGATGAAGTTTCTTCAATAAGCCACACGATTCGATCCCTTCTATCTAATTTCTTTTTCAACTTTCTTCATCCAATCCCGTCTTTCGAACATTCATCTCTCACGATCTTCATGTAAGTTCTGCTCTGTTCAGCTCACTGCATTCTCGCACTATCATTTTTTCAGTTGTTTTGATACCTAGTTCTTCCATGGATCGCCAATGGTTCGCTTATTTTTTATCTGAATTCGTCGTATTTTTGTTCTAATTTTGATGTTTTTGTTATGGACAGTTTTGAGTTTCGGAGTTTCTGTGCTATTTCTCTCTCTCTCTCTCTCTCTCTCGCGCGCGCGCTAATCTGAACTTTCTTTTTTAGGATGAAAGGCTGTTGAAGCTTTTTCCCTCGTTACTGCGATTAGTTGGATTCAATTCAAAATGTTGTCGGTTTGCTCGGCGACGCCTAGCTGTTCTTCTCAATCTAAGGTTATCTTGTGCTTTTGAGCTATCTTTATTCATCATTTGTTTTTGATAGAATGCTTTAAATACTTCAAAATTGATGATACTCCTCCGCTGGAGAATCAATCAATTAGTATTTAGTTGATGGCGCCCTCTTAATTTGGTGCCGTGCTGTTCTAACGGATGAGATCTTACTCGAAGGCTGTTTGATGTCTGGGATACTTGATCCTTGTTACTGCATGCGTAATCAAATGTTTCTGACATGGAACAATGAAATAAACCTGCAGATTACTTTCCATGGCGGCCTGAGACTCTTGCTCCCATCCCAAAAGGGTGTTCAAGTTGGTAGCCATGGAGGTTTTCCTAAAGCTTTTGCCACAAGATCTTCTTTCTCTGATTTGGCTACAAGCGCTCAACAGCAACTATCCATAGGTAACACTAGTTATTGGTTTCCAAATGAATCGAATCATCTAAGTGGTAGAAATCTCGTTAGTTGTTGTACATTTGGTAACAATAAATGAAGAACTCCACATTTTGGCAGGTGGAGTGAAATATGTAGAGAATTCCAGTTTATCAGCAGGAGGAGAGGCACTCCTTGATGTTTCTGGACAACATGGTGAAATTCCATCAGTTCATGAAACCGTGTTAACCGATAACATTTCATCTGGGAAAACGCTCTTCGTGTCCGACTCTCTAAATTTCGATAACAATTCAGTTTTGAACACGAAAACAAGTGCTTTGGATTTTTTGGATCGGGTCAGCAAGACCTTTAATGCTTCTATTCAACAAGGGGAAAGTCTTATTGAAAAATCATTGGATACAATTAACTCATCAACATCAGCCTTGATTAAACAGGGCAATCAAAGTGTTGATGATGCCTTCAATAGTATATTTTCATCTGTTGATCAGATTGGGGAACAAGGTCGTGATCGGCTGTCCAACTTGTCAACTGGGTTCAAGGAAGGCTCGTTCAAAGCTTCTGTTTCCGCAATCGACGTATTGAGACAAGCAGTTGTTGCAATTGAGGATTCTCTAGCAAATGCAACTTCATTTGTTGTCTACTCCTATGGGTCAGTCAAGGAAGTCTTTCCTCCTGAAATCAGGGATGCTCTAAGTTCATCTGAGCAAAGAGCAGCTGAAATCTTTAGCCCTGTCAGGACTGGTTTTCAGAAGGTATTGGTTAAAAGTTTATTTGGGTCTTATTTGATTGTTTAAAGGATGTATATTACATGTCTTCAGCATCCAAATTACAATATATTATACACCAAACGTATTTTTGGAAAGCAGATTTACATCACCGTTGAGAGTTTGGAGAAACTCCTTGGCTTAGATCCAAGTGATCCGCTTGTTCCATTTGTACTCCTCGTTGGAAGCTCTGTCACTCTGTGGTATGATTATTCTTTACGCTTGAGGATATTATCATTATGCTGCGTCATGGAGGACATAGAATCCATTTCTTGAGGTTTAAGATTTAAATCAGATTTGTGCAGGGTTTTCTATTGGAGGAGGACATATGGTGGTTATTCTGGAGATTTATCTCCTCAATCAACTTTCGAGCTTCTGAAAGGATCAGAAAACGCTGTTCTTATTGATGTCCGGCCTGAGGCAAGAGACTGTAAAATTTCATGGCCTTTGTATTCACAACATTGAGCATGTTTAAGTCCTTTCTCCAGATAATAACTATTGTGTTGAACGTTTCCTTTGAGCCTACTCTTCTACTGTTCCATGAAATACACACACACACACACAAACACACGCGCGCACACACATATAAAAGAAATATAGACTTTTTCTTAATGAAGTCATGAAAATTTTAAGTACCAGGTTCAAATTTTAAATTTGTTGTTGTTGGTCCTTTTTTTCTTCCTTTTTTCTGTAGGATTTGAGAGAAAAAGATGGGATTCCTGATCTTAGACGTAGAGCGCGAGCTCGCTATGCAAGCGTAACTCTACCAGAGGTTGGTTGTGTGCATTGTTTTATTTGGAAGTATCCAGAGAAATGATAAGTTCTTACTTGACACAAAAAACAAGCATTGTACTCTATTCCATGCTTCTTATAGCTATTTTTGCCCTTAATTTTCAGGTTGATGACTCTATCCGGAAGTTAGTAACGAATGGAAGAGACCTTGATGACGCTTTACTTGCTTCTGTCATCCGGAACTTAAAGATTGTTGAGGTAGTCGGTTTTTTCTCTTTTAAGTGGCCTTTGAGTTCTTGGCCTATTAGACAATAGTATTTGGTTTGATTAATGATGTGATTATTGGCTTGTGCTCTCTGTAGGACAGGTCCAAGGTTATCATCATGGATGCCAATGGTACAGGTTCTAAAAACATTGCAAGATCATTGAGAAAACTTGGGGTCAAGGCATGTATTCTATATTCCTAACATTCTTTTCAAGGAATGTAGAAACACTTCCAAAATCTTAAACTTTGTTTGATCATGAGAATTTTAATACATGCTGGAGACAGCGTGGTTGGGAAATTTAGCTGTAGGTTGAAATATTAGCACATCTAATTTTTTCCCTACTGGTTGGAGAGGGGAACAAATGGAGAGGGGAACGAAGCATTCCTTATAAAGGTGTGGAAACTTCTCCCTAGCAAACACGTTTTAAAATCGTGAGGCTGATGGTGATTTGTAACGAGCCAAAACAAACAATATTTGCTAGCGGTAGACTTCGACTGTTACAAATGGTGAGCCAAACACCAGGCGGTGTGTGAACGAGGATGCTAGGCTCTCAAGGGGGCGGATTGTGAGATCCCATTGGTTGGAGAGGGGAACGAAGCATTTTTTATAAGGGTGTGGAAACCTCTACCTAGCAGAGCGCTTTAAAACCGTGAGGCTGACAGCGATATGTAATGGGCCAAAACGGACAATATCTGTTAGCGGTGGACTGGACGGTTACATATAACCTATTCTCTGAAGAAATGTGCTGTTGAATTACTTACCAATATCTTTATATTATAGCATTGTTGTTATTATTATTTTGGGTAACCCTAAGAAAAAAATCTTACAAATCCAGTAATTGAATGTCCCTTGCATTCAAATTGCTCAAGACTCAATGCCCTTTTGATATTTACTTGACAGAAACCATACTTGATCCAAGGTGGATTTCGGTCCTGGGTGAAGGAGGGCCTCCGCATCAAGGAGCTCAAATCTGAAACAGCACTTAGCATACTTAATGAGGTATCTTACGTTTTTTTGCTGTGTAGTCAAAATATGAAAATAGCTCAAAGAAATATCTAGTTCCCATGTAAACTTGTCCCTTCTGAGTCAAAACTGCAATCATTTCAGGAAGCTGAGGCAATCTTGGAGGAAATAAATCCATCTCCCGTGCAAGTTCTGGGTTATGGTTTGGTAAGGTTAACTTTACATTCACAATATTTCAGCAAGAAGTTGATGACCATTGAATTGATTTTTATTTATGGCTTTTGCTCCTGTTATTAACTCCATGTGCACTGCAATCAGAGGAATAGAGAGACTGTCAGGATTCCTCTAACAAGAAATATACACAAACAAACTATATTGCAACATCAACAAATATCACAATATCAAAAGACTGTCACCAAAGTCCCTGCACTAAGACAATACCAAAATCTTCTCCCTTTCTAAAAGCCCAAACTCCCATATTCCCTATTTATTCCCTATTTATGACCAAGTGTAACAGCCCAAGCCTACTGCTATTAGATATTGTCCTCTTTGGACTTTCCCTTTCGCGCTTCCCCTTAAGGTTTTTAAAATGCGTATGCTAGGGAGATGTTTCCACACCCTTATAAAGAATGTTTTGTTTCCCTCTCCAACCAACGTGGGATCTCACAATCCACCCCTCTTCAAACCCAGCGTCCTCGCTGGCACTCGTTTCCCTCTCCAATCGATATGGGATCTCACAATCCACCCTCTTCAGGGCCCAACGTCCTCACTGGCACTCGTTCCACTCTCCAATTGATGTGGGACTTTACAATCCACTCCCTTCAGGACCCAATGTTCTCCCTGACACTCGTTCCCCTCTCCAATCCATGTGGGATCTCACATGCTAGATATCAAGTTTATATTGGCTTGATAAATTCATTCATTGCATCTTTCTCTAAACTCTTCGTTTTTCATTTTGTGCAGGGTCTCGTTGCAACTTTATATGCTTTACTAGGTAATGCAAATCTCAAATCTTTTGCTTGCATAAACTATCGGTTGGGTTTCACAAAGCAGAACTTTAATCCTCCACTTTTCTACAAATATGTTCTGCATTTGTTACTCAATCTCAACTGAAGTGGATATCCTTTCATACTTAATTCTTGCTTTTGATATCGACCCAAAAGGAGTTTGTTTAATCTTTTTCTGATGTATAATTTGTTATCTGTCAGAGTGGGAGACATCCTTACAAATAATTGCCATCCTGGGCCTCGGTCAGGTACTTCTTATGATACTCGACTTCAACTTTTCTATACTTGCAAGTAGAAATATTAGGTTGTCTACTTTGGAAGTACCATTACTCTACTGTTATATTGACATGGTATGGCAACTCCACCAGACAATTTATCGGCGAGTTTCTTCCTATAATGATGCTGAAGATTTGACTAAAGATATCAGGTGAAGTTTAACTATCTAAGACCAGTTTAAAATTTGATCATTTCTGCACCAAAAATCTCTAACTATTCCCATATTGTGGATTCTTTTAGGCTGTTGCTTACTCCAGTCAGTCTTGGAGCTCAGGCATTATCATGGGCGGCCGGGAAAGTTGAGACGAACGGCGTTGGACTACCGACGTCTCCTTCGTCCTCGGATGTGCAAAACAGGGTGCTGCAGGCTGCTGCAAAGCACGAATCTCAGCCTTCAGTGGATGAAGGTATCCAAAACAGACCGGCGGAGGCAACAATTCCAGTCAGTGAGGGCGTAGATCTTTCTGAGGCATAGAACAAGATTTTCTGGGATTGCATATTAATGCTTGTTGATGAAAGCCCCTTCTGATCTGATCTGATCTTGATTGTTGATCCAGGTACACTAACAGTATAGCATGTTCAAATAGATGACTGCTTGGATCACTTGGTCAAGAAAAATTGTGAGCTAATTTCATTGCCTTTTCTTCTCTCTCTCTCTCTCTCTCTCTCTCTCTCTCTTCAGAAAAGATGTAGAGTTCTTTGCAAATACTAAATCAATATTGTCTTGCAGTATTGCATGTTGATAGTAAACTTGCATGGTATAATATTTTTTAAATAGTTTCTTATCTAAATTTATACCCGTGAAATACAAAATTGAAATATATTCGAATATAAAGGAGATAAAATATTGAAACTTTTGAAAAATGGAACTACGTTTAACGAACATATTCGAACACTATCAACACCTTTAAATTTGAAGCATAACAAAAGTTTTTTCACTTGTCTACTTTAAATTTTAAAGCATAACTAATAGGGAGAGGTTTGCTAACACCTTTATAAGGAAGACTTCGATTTCCTCTCCGACCAATGTGGGATGAGGATTCCACCCTTTGTAACAACCCAAACTCACTCATAGTAAGTAGATATTGTTTGTTTTGGTCCGTTACGTATCGCCGTCAGACTCTCGATTTTAAAATGCATATGATATAGGAAGAAGTTTACACACTCTTGCTGGGAATGTAGGTTATTGGTTCTCCTCTACAACCATTACACTACATACTGAGTGTTTTCTAAATTCATTTGTTAGGTCCAAAATATTCACATCAATTATTCTATAATTATTCTTTTTGTAATAGTTGTGTTGCGTTATACTTATAAATTTGCCCCTTTGTTTTTTGGGTGAGTACATACAAATTTGTTTGAATATGGTTGGATTGGGAAATGGGCTTCATACGAGTTGGGCCGAGATGAGATATTTGTTGTATATGAGCTTTGAAGTTATTGGGCTCAAAAGCCCAATAACTAGAGAACGTTTAGAAAGTAGGCCCATCTTCTTGGTGAGTAACCGAGACCGAGTTTTATTGAACTCGTGAGGGCTTATTTGTAATTCAATCTAATGCGGTTAGGGTTTTCTTTTCGCTAATCTTCTTCAGAGCCTATAAAACCCGCCTTCAACATCGAAGTTGTTCATAATCCTCTTGCGGTGATCTTCTCCGAGTTCCAATTTCTAGGGTTTCTTCTTCGTTATTCTCAGCGTTTTCGTTTAGGGTTGTTTCTTTCGAAATGGTCTGTTCTAGTTTTTCCTTATCTCTCTTTTGAAGAAAAAAATGAAAAATGTTTTTGAATTTCGATTTGCTTGAATGGAAGAAGAACAATGGAGGGAAGCCAATTTGCAGAGCAAGGGCGTCGATTTATAATGGCGTGAATTGCATTGAAGGTTGGCCATATAAACGTTAGCGGTTCTCCGTGCCTGTCAAATTTCGTTAGTTTTGATTATGGCCTCGAACAAGTCGCTACATTCATTTCGATCTCATTCTCTTCTTCTGTTCATCATTTTTCATGTTTTGATTCGCAAGTCTTTTATCTGACCAAATCTCCGTTTCTGCTGTTTTTCTTCTATTCATTTTCTGGATTTTCCACATGAAATTAGATCCAGAAAGTTCAAACGAATGTCGGACTCTTGGTAGCTCATTTAGATTCCAGGTGCTGATCTCTAAAAGATTAGCGATGTTATTGATTTTTCGAATTCGATCCTCATTCATAGCTTACGAGTCCCTTTTACTAATTTCAGATTCGATCAGTATTTTGAGTTTATGTCAGATTTTTTAAAATCCTTTCAGCCTTCCTTCCCAATCTCTTATTTCTTCATACGACCAAAAAAAAAAAAAAGTTCTTACTAAGTGATTTTTTTTTTCTTTTTTTAGTTTAATAATTAGTAGTTGAAGTGCAATCTCTAGATATGGGGAAAGGTTGGAACGTAGAAGGAAACAGTGTCCGCAATGGATTGTGGCGCCGCACATGGGTGACCCCCCCCCGAGGGTGTTTGACGGTGGCCGAACGTGCACTGTATGATGGGTCGGGTGCCTGCCACCCAATTTTGAATACAACTAAAACAGAAGATTGATTATAAATTCAAAACCCAAATAGGAATTTGGGCACTAATTTCGTTAAATTTCTGACACAGATTTGTATATAAGAACATATTTATAATGTATAATGTTTAGATTATTTTGTTATTCTGCGGAACCAGATATTACAGCTGACGCAAGTTACACAAAAAGAAGAAAAACGTAGAGAACGCTTAAACTCTCCTACTTCGGATCCCTAATTGACTCCATCACACGATATTTTTTCACTAGAACACGAATTGCTATTTTCTTATCCTTTGGATAGTGGCGATTAATCATTCGTTTGCTTCTTTGCACGTACTACAGCTTAACCTCCCGATTGAAAATCCAACTGAACGGAACTGTAGGACCTTCTTTTGCCCGTGTTCGAGCTCTTTCTTCTAGCCTTCTAATTCTTGCTGGTAACCCACACACATAATCCTGAGCCTTCTGCCCGTGACCTGACAGTCCTTTGAGCTGTTCCACCTTCCATCTCCCAACCAAATACTCCAATATGTCGGCGTAGTCCTTGGCTGTATAAACCCCCAGCCTCTGAGCAAGTGCCGAGAAGTGATTGAAGAGGTTGTTGTCACGGCCATCGTACATCATGTGGGCTGGCATTGTAATGTTCTTCCTCATCATGTCTTCAAAACACAGGATGGTTCCTTCAGGGTCTATCTCAAACAGCTTTTCAACTATTTTTGTATATGCAGCTTCGTGTCGCTTCTCATCTGCAGCAATTGTTCCACATAATTGGGCCAACTTTATGTCTCCGTGCTCCTTTGCTAATCTGGCAGTGTTCCCATGGGAGATGAAGGTTGCTCTCTCTTGAAATGAGGTGTATATAAATCCTAGGTAAGGGTTGTTTTCAGTTCCTGGGTCCTAAATAGACACAATCCATATGAAATTTTAATAAAAAATTTAGCAGGACTAGTGAAAAAATGGAGAAATTGTGTCAATATCCAGCAAAATGCGTGGAATACTCCAAAATGCTTGAGCAGTTGTGAAGGTTGTAATGAATTAAGTATAGCATAGTATGGAAGTGTGTGCGCTTTCGTGTGTCTTAATGTGCATACTGTCCTCTCAATAACTATGGGTTTGAAGAAAAGCAAATTGTGAAAGTAATGTGATGAGGTAAAGGAAAATTGGATAGTGGTAGATGGATCTCACCATTCCTGATCGAATCAAATACTGAATAGTTTTCTCAACCTGCCTCATATCAACTCGCCCTGATAGGTAAAGATATTTGTTTAGTACGTCACCATGCCTGTTCTCTTCAGCAGTCCAAGACCTCGTCCAAATGGCCCAAGAACTGAGGCTTGCTCCAGTTTCATCCCTAACTCCATCCATGGTATTAAGCATTGTCTGGTAAGTAGGAAGGGCATCTTCTGTAATCATGTCTCCAACTAAAACGATGAAGTAATCATCAGGGACTTCCTTTGCCCTCTCTCTAAGCTCCATCACTTGCTCCTGAAATCCTTCAGATGCCGGATCTGGCAACAAATCCAGTGGTTGCCAACACCTCTCCACTGGTTTCAAATAAACTAAAATGTTCTCTGCTGCCCAATCCTCCAGACATTTAAACATCTCTATCTTCTGTGGTGGCATTGAGTGAGTTACTTGAGGATGCACTTCCCTAGGAGGTATAAAGGGTTTCTTAAGGGCCTCGACCTCCCTGGTATGTTTACGAAATACACAAAACAAGGCAAAATAGTTAAGCAAACAGAGATTTCTCGTTCCTGCATAGGCAGATTACAATTCTTCTAAATAATTAAGTCCTCATTGCAAACGAGCTGTTTACAATTAAAAATACTGTCTAAAGGTAGAACAAGAAAGGAATCGGATTACAGAGAATTCTACCCTGAACAACTTGGTCTATTATCGGTTTATGAACATATAAGCAGAGAAATGTAGGAGAAAGGAATATATATATGAGCTGCGGAAGATCAGAGCGAAGAATAAATGATCAAGATAGAACGCTCGCAAGAAGACAGAAAAAGTGAACACCGCTCCGCCAAATACACCAAAGAATACCAAATGAACAATCATGCAACCACACGATTAACTACAGATCAAATTTACGGCCACAGGAAAGAAAATTGAACATCTATTTTCATTTTCTGGAATTATAACAGAATAAGGAAAAAACCTATTCGTACCGGCAGGAATGAGCCATAATCACTCAGTCGACGTGATATGCGATAGGAAACGAAGAAAAACAGAACGATATAAATGCAATTGAAACGGCTTCATATTCATCGCCATTCAGGAACACACTCCATTATAATAAAAGAGATCAAAACCAATACACAAAGATTTGAAAAACAGAATAAGAAAAAAGAAGGAGAATCTACCTGGAAGTGGAGCGGAGAGTGGAGGCCACAACGAACTTAGGAGATCTGAAACTCGCAAGCTGCGGCATCGCAAAGGACGGCAACTTAGGAGATTGAGAGGTGAGAAGATGGAATTGGAGCGCCATTATCCAACTGTTTCAGTATGCACCTTCCTTATTCCGGTGAGCTCGTCGGAAATCGGTTCCTCGGAAGAAGAAGAAGAAGAAGAAGAAGTAGAAGAAGAAGAAGGAAATGGACCTTCCTTTACGTATGTGACTGTGATGCTAAATGAATACCAGAAAGAGCACAGCTTATTCTGACATGTAAAGTGCTTTTTATATCCAAAAAAAAATTTATATATATATATACAAAATACAAAATAATAATAATAATAAAAATAATAATAAAACCTTTGAAATAACAATCCTTCAAAAATAATTCAGTGGTAATGGTTAATTATTATCTATTATTATTTTACATATTGTCAATATTATTATTATATAATTTGAGTTAAATTGTAAATTTTGTTATTGAAATTTGTTGATTAAATATATTTAATTTTTTTTAAAAAAAAATCATATACCCAAATTTTGAATTGGGATTATAATTTTTTTAAATAAGAAACTAAATATAATTTTAAATAAATTATCAAACATTATTTACTCATAAATAATAAAATAAAATTAAAAAAGAAAAGCCAACAATAAATTTAAAAACCAATGTATTTTTGTTAAATAAACCTCCTACTTTTTAATGCAATCTTCCATTAACTAATAATATTAAATTAATTGCAATTTTTTCAAATAAANAAATTATCAAACATTATTTACTCATAAATAATAAAATAAAATTAAAAAAGAAAAGCCAACAATAAATTTAAAAACCAATGTATTTTTGTTAAATAAACCTCCTACTTTTTAATGCAATCTTCCATTAATTAATAATATATTATTAGTTAATGGAAGATTGCATTAAAAAGTAGGAAGTTTATTTAACACCACCAAGAAATTCCATTAATTAATAATATTAAATTAATGGAATTTCTTGGTGGTGTTGAATAAACTTCCTACTTTTTAATGCAATCTTCCATTAACTAATAATATTAAATTAATTGCAATTTTTTCAAATAAACTTCCTACTTTTTAATGCAATCTTCCATTAACTAATAATATTAAATTAATTGCAATTTTTTCAAATAAAAAATTTTGAATTCTTACTTCGGGTTTGAATTATGGATGTTGAAATAAATATTTGTTTCGAATCAAAGTATTCAATTTTTTTTTATTTTAAATAAAAATAAAATATTAATGGTAAAATATTTATTTATTTTATTAATTTTATTCATCAAATTAAAAGATTTGTAATTCAATTTATATTTTCGAAAAACTACCACTCAAATTAAATTATATTAGGGTACGAAAACTTTCCCGGAAAGGAAAAGCTCAAAGAGGACAATATCCACCAGCGGTGATAGACTTGTCGTTACAAATGGTATTGATGGAATGTTGGCGTTAATTACCACAAAATTATTTATATTATGGCATATGACGTATAAAATTTAAAATAAATTAGTATTATGATCGGGACCCATTTACCAACTCAAAAGAATATATACCTAAACTAATGTAATAAATGTCAATAATACAACAATAGGTTATTAAATGTTCAGTAATTCAATTTCAAACCAAAAAAAAAAAATCATAAAATATATTTTTCTTAATTTTGCAATAATGGTCAATAATACAACAATAAGTTATTCAATGTTCACTAATTTAATTTCAAAGAAAAAAAAAACCATTAAATATTTTTCCATTATATATCTTACTTATTAGTTGCATTAATTATAAATAATTAATGAAAAACAAAAAAACAAAAAGCTTAATACAAATTAACTACTAAAACAATTAATTTAATGATAAATAGTTGAAAACTTATTACTAGAAGATCAAAGATCTCGAAGGAACGGAAATCTCTCTCTAGCTGGAACGGATAATATGTACTGGTGAGTGGATTTGATTGTTAACCATCCGCTTATGTATAAAGGGTGATTTTACTAGAGTTGTCGAGATCGGGGCATCTT